GAGTTGAATTTTCCCACAATCGTATGAGTGTACAAGACATTTTCATTGGACTTGACATGTCTTTGACTTCGCAAATGGTATTTCCATAGTGGGTGGGGTGGACTGCAGTTTCGGGCCCGCTTATGACTCAGCCACACCACAAGCGGGACTCGAATAGTGACAGTCCAACGTGCAACTACCACGCCAGACTGTCACGAGTGTCCTTGTATGCCTCACTGAGCAAATGTGAATTGTAAGGAAGTCAGGAGTTCTTCAGTATGACATTATGTGGTGGCATTCACATCTGGCACTCGTGGCAGTTTGGCGTGGTTGTCAACGTGTCGAGAGCATACGCTGCAGTGTCATGGTTCGAGTTCCACTAGGGATCTGGATAAGATCTGGGCGAGATCGAAACTGCAGTTCACTTCAGTCTTCTGGGAAGCAAGGTAGTGTCAAGTTCACCGGGAACATCGTGTCTACTTGAATGATTGTGGGAAAAATCAACGAAATAGGATGAATACATTTCATAATAAGTAGTCTCGAGAGCCTACTTATAAACGAGGTCGAGGTTGATCTGTCCAACAGCTTAGGCACCGCATCGACCGAACAGAATGCAACTGGGCCTCGGTCACATCAAGCAGTGGCTCATGTGTTGATCATGCTGATCATGCTGATCGCATTACTCACGAGAACAATATTAACTGATCTGATCCCTCTACTGTCACCTTGATCAGCTTGATCACCCAATTCACACAACTCACACAATTTACTCAATTCACCCAATTAACTTAATTCACCCTACTTACACAATTCACACAATCCACCCAATTCACCCAATTCAACCAATTCACACAACTTACACAATTTACTCAATTCACCCAATTCAACTAATTCACCCTACTTACACAATTCACAATATTCACCCTATTCACCCAATTCGCCCAATTCAACCAATTTACCGAATTAAAATGGATCACATAATTCACTCAATTCACCTAACTTAAACTAATCACACCATTCACCCAATTCACTCAATTCACCCAATTCAAAATAATCACACAATTCACATAATTCACACAAATCACCCAATTCAACCAATTCACCGAATTCAAATTAATCACATAATTCACCCAATTCACCGAATTTAAAATAATGACACAATTCACCCAATTCACTCAATGTATTCAATTCACCCAATTTAAACTAATCACACAATTCATATAATTCACACAAATCACATAATTCACCCAATTCTCCCAATTCACACAATTCATACAATTCCCCTATGATCATGTTGATCGCGTTGCTCCTCTTAATCGTCTTGGTAGTGCTGTTAGCGATACTGGCGTATTTCTAATGACTTTCTGACGTTGATACAGATGAATGCGTTGATCGTATGGCCAGCCTGGATAATACTAACCGCGATGATCCTGTTAATCAACTTGATGGTCCTGAAAGCGATGATGGCGTAGATCAGTTTGATCGCGTCGCTGTGTTGCTTGTCTGTATCCTCGTCATTTTCTTCATCCTGCTGATAATGACAATGACTCTGATCGCAGTGATCGCGAAGAGTACGCTGATTACGTCAATTGTATTTATCTCGTTGATCTCATTTTTGCAATGGATGGCGCAGATTGTGTTTATCAGCAATACGTATCGTTGTCTAGACTCAGGGGAAAATCAGCGCCTGTAGACTAATGCTGCAACTGATCGGCCACTAAGCGCTGGTCTTGCATTGGCCTCTTTGCTCTTCAAGCATGAAGATTCTCTTCAGGAGATTCACGAGATCAGCATCGTGACAGTCAGCAAGCCTGGGCGAGAGAGTAGATTGCCGAACTGTGGCTGGATCTTGCTTAAGAAGTGTATTCAACAGAGGGGATTTCGAGTCTAACCGTTGAGTTCTCCCACAATCGCATCAGAAGGACTAAAGATAGAGGTTGTTTTACCTTGTTTTCGCAACTGGGTCATTTTGTTAGGAAGATTTAAAGCAACACACCTTGTCCTGAGTCAATTGTATGCATCATTATTTCCAAAGTTGAACCATCAACGTGGTACATTCCCAAACGTTTCGCCGGCATCGTCAGTGAGTATCGCCATTCATAGCACCACACAACAACTCGAAATGCAGCATTTCTTCATAGTCACAAATATTTCAATATAATGGTTGTTTTGCTAATTTCTATAGACTCGCAGATGTTAGAAGGTATGAAGACCAAGATGGTGTGGCCTTTTGTGTGGTCGCAGTCTCCTCTTGTTGTACAGAAGTTGTTTAACCTTGTCATCGCGACTTGGTCATGTTGGTAGGAAGACTTAGAGCAACGCACCTTGTCGGGAGTCCATAGTATGCATCATCATTTCCAGAGTAGGATCCTTGACGTGGTACATTCTCAAGCGTTT